CAGCCGGGCGGTGGAGGTAAGGGCCAGGGTGTGGGAGCCCCCCGCGGCCACCTGCGCAGACAGACAGACAGACAGACACGGAGGGGTTGAAAAGGGAACTTACCCAGAAAATAAAACATAAAGAGGCTACGGCTCCCCCAGCTGCGTCCGGATCCGAAACGACCCGACAAAGACACCCACCCCGGGTGATGACACGATCCAAATACTACCACCTTACCTGTACGACAACATGCGATTCAAGTCCTCGAACTTTCTGCGGCCGTAATTTGGACGAGCCGGATCTGTCGCCCAAGCCCAATCTGCCGTACTCCCCTCGGCCCCACACCCACACCTCCCCGGCACTGCTGAGCGCGCAGCTGTGCCAGCCACCCGCGGCTATGTCCGCCACCTGCAACGGGGCCAAGAAGGGGGGGTTGAGGTAGGAACCACGGACGAATGAAGCAGCTGGGGGAGGGGGAGGGGCACCGAGGGGGGGGGTTTCGGAGCCCATGAAGACGGGGGGAGAGGAATCCCACAATGATGGTGACGGCAATGGCGATGATGGTGATGATGGTGATGATACAATAAAATCAACTGCCAACTGACATCCAACTGTGCCAACTGCCAACTGTCTGGGGGGGGGAGAGGAGTCCATGCGGTGGTGGTGCAAACTACCCAAGGACGGAAGAAGGGAGGGAGTGTGAGTGTGAGTGTAAGAGTGAGAGTGAGGAAGCTCCAACAAGAACTTCTACAACTACTGCAACTTCGAGTGCAACTATAACAGCAGCCCCTATGCATCACACATCGTCAGCTGACCTGGATTTGGCATGTATGGTTCCGTACGATATCTACCCACTCTGTATGTGTGTGTTTCTGTGCGCTCGTGACAGACACACATATACGCAACCAAGCACAAAGTACACTAAATCGCATTTTCCCGTCCCCATCCCCCCTCTTCCCCCGCCTCACCACCACTCCCTCCATGTCCAGCACGGGACGGGGTGTCGTGGCGTACGTCGTAGAGCCGTTACCCAACTGTAGGAGCACACATACATACATACATATCTAGGTCAAGCACTTCTGGTAGAGCACGCACCAATGTCCCCGGAGGTTCCGGGATCGAGACCTGTCAGGGTCGGAAATCCTTCCGATGGTGGAAGGTATAAGTGCCCCTAGTCGATGGACGGTGGTGACCCGGGCTAAAGTTAACCTGCGAGCTGACCAGGAATGGAGTTGAGCCGCCGTCGATCCGGCAGATTCCGTTGGATGCTGGTGGTGGGTGCGAAATCTGAACGATCCACTGAGAAGTTGGCTAGGGTGACTGGATGAGGGTGCCCCGAAATACCCGCGGGGAAGGCAGGGTTTCGCACATCATACATACATACGACCATACATCCCAGTCACCTGCCCGTAGTCGTTCATGCCCCAGCTGAGAACCCGGCCCTGCGCGGTGAGGGCCAGGTTGTGAAACGCCCCGCAGGATACGGCAGCCACTCCGCCCTCATCCGGATGTACGGCAACCGGACGGGGTGTACGGACGGGCCTCATTGAGAAGTCCCCCCAGTTCTCCCCCCACTGCCACACCTGCGAATGATGAGGGGGGGTTACAAGGTGTGTGTGTGGGGGGGGCTCACACGAACCACTGGCGATTGACGCGGATACCGGTGATAGACGGATCGTCCAGGAGAGCAAGACAAACGCTGCATCACTGACCACTGATGACTTGGATAGTGGTTCCACTAGTGGCCATAGCGGGGGTTGGGAAAGGAGTTACTTACTCACTACAGCTGGCACAATAAGCACAGGCAAAAAAGCGAAAAGACTACCTATGTATACGCCATATACGCTATATAAGATTTTAGATATACGTTACATAATATTGTACATAAACGCTTGGGGAGCAGGAATAGCTGTAGTATATTATGTAAAATATGAAAAGGAATATCAACCGACTGTTTTGCCCCCTTGCTGTGGTGAAATGGACAATGTGGTGCTGGTGGTGGGCGGCAGGGAGGAGGTGGAGGTGGACTACTACTGGGAGGATGCTATGTTAATAATACGATTCTGTCGTACCATTCCGTCCTCGAGTAACGCCAGCGAGTGCATTCCACCCGCGGAGACTTGTCGTACTCTCTGACTAGGACCCAGCCCCAAATCCACCTGAGTGTACGACAGCAAAGGGGATGGGGTGGAGGGGTAGTGACGCGGAGCAGGTTCCCGGGGTAAAGGGCGGGCGCGCGTGGGTGTATTTCGGGGCACCCTCATCCAGTCACCCTAGCCAACTTCTCAGTGGATCGCTCAGGTTCCGCACCCACCACCAGTATCCAACGGAATCTGCCGGGTCGACAGCGGCCCAACTCCATTCATGGTCGGCTCGCAGGTTAACTTTATCACAGGTCACCACCGTCCATCAACTAAGGGCGCAATACCTTCCACCATCGGAAGGACTTTGACCCTAATGGGTATCGATCCCGGGATCTCCCGGGGGCAATGGTCGCGCCTTACCAGTGGTGCCAAACCCTAGTTTAGGTGTATGTACGTATGTGTGTACGTACGTATGTCTATGTGTGCCACCATGCGTGTGTAAATTCTCGGACTCTGTTGGCCACAGAACTTGGAGGAACAGGAACGGATTGGCGGGGCGGAGGAGGAGGGGGAAAGACGAACCCCACACGAGCGAGTGAAGCTGATGCCAGAAGGAAAGAGTGCTGCGGCAGATGTAAAGAGCGCAGAACTAACCAGTCGGCGGTTGGGGCCAAGAAGGGTTGCTCAAAACACCTGTTTTGCTCTCCTTGTCCCGCCCCCGTCATCCACACATTTGTAAACCCCGCCCTAACCCCCTTACCCCCAAAGTGCGCACGCACACACACACACACACACACACACACACACACACACACACACACACACACACGGCGAGTATGTCATCCATGTAAAGGACAATAAGGATATGGATGTCACAAAAGTACACATAATGATAAGTACAACCCCAATCCCGTACTTGTCCGTACACGTACCCACCGGCATGGGCTCCGTAATATCCCGTTGCCCAGGCAGTACACTGCCGCACTGGCCGTACTCGTTACCCCCCCAGGCGAACATCGTACCGCGATCCGACAGGGCAAGGCAGTGCCAACCGCCGATAGCTACCTGTACGACACAGGGAGTGGAGTTGGGTGGGTGCAGGAAGTAGGTGGTCACAAGGGGAAAATCCGAAAAAATCGCCACCAGGGAAGGGGGGAGGAGGGGAGGGGGAAGAGAAACCACGAGCGAGGGGGAGGGGGGAGGGGGAGAGGAAATGAGGGTAGGAAGTGGGGGCTAGGCGGGGCGGAGGCCTCCGAGCGTTATAACTGTACGACCTAACCGCCGCCGCGAATGAGAGGCAGGCTGACGGCTGACGAAGTGAATGGAGGCGAAGTACGGCCGGCTTGCTGGCTTTGCTCCGCGCAAAACATACACACATACATGCGCACACACGCACGCACGCAGACATGCACCACCTCATTCAGGGTTTGGAAATATAAAACACACGGACATATCAGCGCGCTTACGTACACCGTGTTCCCGTACTTTTCCGTACCTGTACGATTCGTATTCCCTTGAGTGCCGGGATGCGTTTGGGTTTGGTCTCCACGTCTCGATGTCCGTGACCCAGAGTGCCTCGGTCGTTCCAACCGAACGACCAGACCTGCCACGTGTAAATATGTACGTATGTAAGTAACAAATTAAAGAAAGTAAAATAAACTCAAAACAGAAAAATAGGCACAACAAAAAAATTGAATCTCCCCCTTTTTTCCCCCCTTCCCTCTCGACCCCCCCCCCCCGACCTGCCCCGCCGCGTCCAGTGCCATTGTGTTCCGCGACCCTGCCACCAGCGGTGTACGGCAAAAGGATCTCCCACTGATCTGCACCCCCAACAGCGCCTCCACCACCTGCGGCGGCAAGCGGCCCCCGAGAGCCCCCGGGGGGAAGAGGGGGGAAAGAGAGGGGGAGGGGGGAATATATGAAGAAGATGAAAGAGAAGCGGTCGAGAACAGGGTTGGGGAGGAGTACGCGATAAGGGTAAGCTTGGAGAGGGCTGGGAGTGGGAGTGAGAGTGTGATTGGGAGTGTGATTGGGAGTGGGAGGAGGAAGGAGGGATAACAAAATTATGTACCTATACATACATACATACATACATACATACATACATACATACATACACACAAACTAATGGCCCCCAGGGGTCTGCGGTTGGGAGAGTTCTTGTTTTGGAGAGATAGATGTGGTGAGAAAATGTATTTGATACGGTGATGTGGCGCGGCTTCGTGTCAACCAACCAACCAACCGACCTTCGGCGCGACGACGTTTTCTCTTTCCTCGACCCCCAACTGCCCATCCTCGCTGACGCCCCAACCGAACACAACCGCCTCAATCGGCGGACGCCGCACGTAGTACGGCAGTGAAGCGCACAGGGACCCAGGTCCCCCCATCATCATTGCGCCGCCGCCACCGCCGCCTCCGCTGCCCATGCCGTACTGCGCGAGCGATCCGCTTGATTCTGAGGGACTCATCACGCCGTACGAGGAAACCATGGCCATCGGCCCCCCAGTTGACTGGTGCCCATACGGCACGGATCCTCGCTCCGCTGCAGCCGCCAGGTCAACGCCGGCCGCCGTACTGCCGTACACATGATGTTGCTGCTGCTGGTCCTGCGCCGCCGCCGGCACCGCCGACTTATGCCCTAGCTGCTGCTGCTGCTGAAAAATCTGGTACGGCCGCCAGGCTAGTTCCGGCGGCGGCGGCGGCGGCGCAGGAGGCAAAAGAGGAGGCGACGGATAAGCCGTGTAAAGAGCAGAGTTGAGGGGAAGGGGAAGTTGCCAGTCGGTTAGTTGTGAGACGCTGTTCGGCGGGGGGGGAGGAGGAGCCCCTTGGAGGTCCACCCGTGTCCACTGATAATGGTGGTTGTGGTGGTTGGTGGTTGATTGAGAGGTGCCGGGGGGAAGGGGGGCCAGCGGCCCACCTCCTCCGCCTCCGCCTCCGCCGCGGGGCAGGACTAATGCATCTCCAGTTGTGGTGGTTACCGCCGCTGTTGCCGTTATGGTGGTTGTGGTGGTTACCGCCGCGGGGGGGATGCTGACGACGCCGCCACCGACACCAGAGAAGGACGGATAGCTCATAACAATATCTGACTGATAATTGGCTAATATCTGACTGATTGAATCTCAGCTGACAAATCGGCCTGGGTCCCCTTAGCTACTCTGTCCGTAATGTTGAGTGTATGTATGTATGTATATGTGTATCAACCTCCTGAAAATAGAGGCACTGTGGGCCCGCGTATCCTGCTACTGCTGCTGTTGATGTTGCTACTGCCGTTGCTGCTACTGCTACTGCTGAACCAATGCTGCCTAATTGCTCCTCCTGCCTCACTTCACGCCGCAGCCGCAGCCGCAGCCGCTGCCCTGTGGCACGTATGGCCTGCTGTGCTCACAAGTGGAGAGGTTATACCCCTCAGCGGGTGCTGCTGGAGGTAATGACAGCGTGGGTAGGGTCAGGGAGAAACGGAAAGGGGGAGAAGAAAAGGAGGGGAGCTTAAAAACGGGGAGTAGGAACAAGGGGGAGAAGGAGGCTGACGGGAGACAGAGGGATGAACCGGATAAGCCGGGAGGAGAAGGGGCGGGGGTGGGGGCGCGTAAGAAGGAACTGGTGGAACTGCGGAACCAGAACGCCTCCCATAGCAAGCCGTTGCTGAGTTTGCTGTGTCTGGTGCTGTGGGTTTGCTAAGGTTGGGTTGGGTGTCAGCCATGGATCCCGAATGGGTTTGCCGACAACATTAAACACCCTCCGGAAGAGGTATGGACACAACCGAAACAAATTTGAGATGTAACAGCCGCGCGCCAGCCGTTCACCGAAGAGATACCAAACAATATAGCAAGTTGCGTTGCTCGTTCACGACACAGGCAGCTCAAATGTTGTCGCATAGTTTTCAAGCAAGGCTTTCACGTCGCAGATGACAGACAGAACAGCGTGGGGCAGAAATGCGACAAGGGTCCTCAGAGATGGGTTCAGACACAAGCCATTATGAAGGAATCTTCCGAAAAGATCGCGTACCTAGAAGACTGTCCGCTAGTCAGAATGGCGCAGAAATTATAGAAATCCTCCTTTGATCTCGGGAACCAGAGCCACTTGACAAGAAAACGAGCGCCTATGCCCTACGCTTCATACTGCAAACTGGTTACGATCGTTTATCATTAGAGTAAGCTTGCAACTCGGTACATAATTATCTGCACTCTTCAGGTATGCATGCTAGCATGCGTAAGAATAATCGTTGGGAAACGAACTTGTTTCGGAGCTCTCATGGATACCCCAGTTAATCTTACAGCTGACCGAGAGGTAACCTGCATGGAACATCCTCATCTCTTTGGTACGCATTCGTAATAAGTGATCCGAACTGTCGCCGTTCATCTCGTGACTATTGAAGAAACTACCTCAGCTCGTGGGCGCAGACATAGCAGAAACGGCTAAAGGAATACTATCTTTAATTGGATTGCGTTCTATAAGCAAAAACTTGGCAAATTTTGACATGGATTGCGCCGACTCCTGAATGGCACCTGGTAAGGAAAGCCGCACCGTGTCGCAACGTATATCCAAACACCACACACTTGGCGACCTTGAAATCACATACAACTGACTTTTGCTTAAGTGGGTTCTGTTGGTGGGGCGGCCAAAGCATGCGGGGCGGCGGCCAAAGCGTTTCGCCTGCACAGGTCTTTTTGCAATACTTACCGTGGAAAGCGTTTCGTCGTGCCGTCTCATACCAATTTAAATCGCGTGAAATCAATACGGAGCTTTCCCCTGCTTTCCCCCTAAACTTTGCATTCTGACATGGGCGCCATGGGCACGATGCCTCCAGCACCTGCTGAGTCGCAAACGATGGAGCCGATGAGTAGCATGGCGTATGCAGATGACGATGATCAGGTGGACGAGGGCGCTAGCGGCTGCCTTTCCGAACCTCCCCCCGACTTGATTTCAACTACGGAAGTGCTGTCGTCTACTCATTGCGCCAGCGGCGCCGGCGGGAGCGGCGCCGGCGACGAGTACGATACAGCTGCCGACGCGTCAGACCTCATGATTGCCGACGACGATGGCGACATCGACGCGACGGCGGCAGGTGTTGGTGGCGGCGGCCCCGCTGGAAACAACGCTTCGCCCCTTGTTGCCGCCGCGGCCACCACAGCCACAGCCGCGGCAGTGGCAGTGGCAGCGGCAACGTCAGGCCAAACTGCCGACGCTGCCGCCGCTGTCACCGCCGCTGCCCCTGATCTTAACTGCACCCTCTCAACAGCTCTGAACAGCGACGCCGCCGCTGTGGCGACTGGCGCCTCCACGGCCTCCGGCGCCTCCGGCGCCGGCACCAGGGTTGTCGTACTCGACAGCGCGGCGCTATCCGCCAACGCGGCGGCTCTACTAGAACAGATGGCCCTTGACGATGGATTTGGCGGTTCTGACGTCGGCAATAAAAACGGTCGTGACGGCGATGGCGACGATGACGTTGACGATGACGTTGACGTTGACCGGGACGAGCCGCCAGCTCCGGATCCCCGTGAGAACCGAGACGAGGACGAGGAGGGTGGGGGGGGGAAGGAGGGGGAGTACGACGAAGAGGAAGACGACGGAGAAGGGCAGGAGGAGGCAAAGGGCTCCTCCAGAATTATGACTGCACAGCGGCAGCAGCGGCGGCAGCCCCACCTCGGAGGAGCCGCCGGCGACAGTACGGCCGATCAGACCGCCGCCGCCGCCGCCGCCACCGCCACCGCAGCTGCAGACTCAGCCCGAGCGATCAGGCTCATCGCCGCCTTTGCGGAACGGAAGCTGACGGCGGCGGTGGCGGGGATGTCAGCGGCGGCGGCGGGGAGTAACGGTGCCGGTTCTCTGGACAGCAGCGGCGGCGGCGGCGGCGGTCGGTCAGGGCCTCCGGCACCCGCAGGTGGTGGTGGCGACGCCGAATTAATGGAGGCTTGTCGGTTGGTTCGGTTGCTGTGTCGGTTAGGCCAAGCAACGGATCTTCAGGTATGCAACTACCCTGATCAAGAGACCGTTTCTGCCAACACCGATGTCTCCTACACTCACACCCACACCCACACACCACCTCCCCCATTTCATCTCTTTCGATTTGAAAAAGGGTTATGGCAGTCATTGTGCCACCCTACAAACGCGCGCGCGCCACCACATGCGTCATGTCGTGAATACCTCCATTGCCCTTGTCGGTGGGGATTGGGGTTGATGATGAGAGGTCGTCATCACTCTCTCCGCAGTTTGACCTTTGACCGCGTCTTGTGATGATAATCCCTGATGGTTGGTGCTGCAGGGATGTGTGTGTATGTGTATGTGTGTGTTTTCTCATCCCTCATTTCTTATCTCGCCTACCCCTCCGCTTTGAACATCGCCCCCCGTTTCCCCCCATCCCTCCATTTCCCATCCCTCCATTTCCCTTCCAACACATACATACATACATACATACATACATACATACATACATACATACATACATACATACATACATACATACAGATACCCGGGGAGCAAGGAACGGTAGCGTTACTGTTTCGGATTGGGGCATCTCCAAGTCTTGCAGGTACGAGCCGTACAGTGTGCCGTCTGCCGTACCGTTTTGTTTTAGGTGCGCTATTATGCGTGCATGAGTTGTTTTCGTACATACAAATGTATGTACGTGTGCGCGGTAAGAGGGTCCCCGACCTTGTGCCTGCCGCCGCCGCCGCCGCCGCCTCGTGCTGTCGCAGATCTATATCGTTATTTAATCACTGTATCAACAAAAAACGCAAAGATTACATTTGAACTTGGGAAATGTTCCCAATGCCCCCCGATTATGATGATGATGATACTGCACCTAAAATTTAATAGATTTGGATCGAGCGGCGGCATTTGCGATGGTTTCGGAGCTGGTTGCCCCATCCCCCCCCTCACGCGGCGGACCCCATAAGGCCCCTCGGCCGCTGCTGGAGTGGATCGCCAGCTCCGCCTCCTCCTCCTCCCCCCCATCTCCCCCTGGCACCGCCGCCGCTGTGGGGCTGCGGGCGCTCGTGGAGGCGAGTGGAAGAGTTCTCATCCTCCCCCTCTCTGTGTGTGTGTGTGTGTATGCATATATATGTGTGTGTTACATCATCTCGCATTAGCTTTAACAACCTCACTACGCAGTTGCAATACCCCCTTAGACAGGCAGGGAGGGAGGGAGGGAGGGATATGCATAGGGTTACGAAAACATTTAATGGTGGGGAGGGTTTAAATGAATCTCCCCTGGCCACCACCGCCACCATCATCACACCACCGCGCTTTACCACTTCTTACCATTTTCAAATGTGATCATTTCCAAATTTTCACGACAGCGTCCCCACTTACCATATCGCAGTGTCTTAGCCGTTGGGGTACGGATGCCGCCGCCACCGCCACCCCCCTCGCCTCCGCTGCGTTGCGTGCTGTGGTGGCGCTCGGCGGCGCGGCGCTGCCGCTGGCGGCGCTTCTGCGTGTACGGCTGTTGGCGGCGCTGGCGACGACGCTGGCTCGCGGGGTCGCGGCGGCGCGGGTGCAAGTGGCGGCGGCGGCGTTCCTGGCGGGTCTGTCATCGTACAGCGCTCTGGGCAAACACATGATTGCTGCAGGTAAAAAGTGTATAAAAAATGTGTGAGCGGTTGAAGCCGAGGTGTTTGTGAGATTTTATGTTTGGATTTCTGGGTTTGGGTGGTATGAGTGTGTTGTATGTATATGTGTTTCCATAAATGATGTTCGGCATTGTCGGCCGCTGCTCGATGATGAGGACATACATACATACATACGAAGGCAGGCGGCTGGCAGAGGTTATGGTCTGACTTCTGCTCCCGGAGTGTCCGGGTTCAAATCCGCCTGCCGACTTCTCGGGTGTTTGAGAAGTGTTGAGTTGGGAGGCTGCCCCCCATCTTATGGACGGTGTTGGACGTGATAATATCGACTTGCGAGCTGACCAGGAACTAAGTTGATGCGCCGTGGATCCGGTAGATTTGGTTGGATGCTGGTGGTGAGTTGCTGAACCCAACGAATACATTCTGAAGTCGGATGGGGTGACGGATTAGGGTTGCCCCTCTCGCAGGGGAGAGCAGGGAGCTGCCTCGGGAAAGGGGGCCGCTGGTGAAGCTACACCACCACCCTGCAGTAACAACATACATGCATACATGGCAAAGTGGTGGTGCACATACCGTGTGTGTGTGTGTGTATCTGTTACATACCAGTCCGGGCCTGAGAGGGGCCTCCTGTGGCTGTTGGTTTTGGTGGTGCTGCTTGTTGCACCCCCCATGGAAAATGTGTTTGTATCCAGGGTTTCAACTACCTCACAAACTATTAACCGCCGCCCCTCCCCCCCGGGTTTCCCAGGCATCCACGTGTTGGCGAGTCGGTTGGTAGGTATTCGTAACCGACCACTTGCCGTACGGGAGAGCTGCTGTGACATCATTGCTAACCTGGCTCTAGGGCAGGCTGGTGCGACGGTTGGTACGACGCGTACGGCAATACCGTTGGCTGATCGTGAGGCCCAGCAGGCTCTTACATCGGCGGGTGCGGGTCCCGGACTAACAAAGATGCTGAGCCTTCGAAATGTACAGGTGGGGGTTGGCGGTTGGTTGGTTGGTTGGTTGGACATGAATGAATGAAGGTGGTATCGCTCGCACGCTCGCGCACATTACAATTGATGCCCACATAGTATTTGAGTACTCGTACTGGAATGACGCCCTAGTTTACGTAGTTTGTATGTCGGTGTGTGTGTGTATGTGTGTGTGTATGTGTGCGGTTGTTACACTGGCGGCTTGAGACTCCCCCGTTTGTGCCCCCGTATTGCTACCCGGATGTACTTGGAGCCCCGGGGGGGGGAGTTCCATAGGGCCTCCAGGGCTTCAGTTTACCACATGTGCCACCACTCTGCTACTAGGGTACCGCGAGCACTTTTCTGTTTGTGTTTCACCCTCTCCTTCCCCCTCTCTCCCCCCACCCTTCTACTCCCCCGCCCGCCTTCAGGCGCTGTGTCGTACCTGCGATGCGATTGCGAACCTGTCATTGGGGGCTTATGTGCCTGCCCAGGTGGGATGTACGTATGTATGTATGTATGTATGTATGTACGTATGATGTAGAATACACTGTGGGCCGCGAAAGCCAGTCCGGGAACCGAGGGGGGCCGAAACACAGCGCCTCCGTCTTCCCTCGCCTCGGTCCCTCTGTCTGTCTGTCTGTCTGTCCGGAGGGGGGTTGGCGCTGCAGTGAAGTCAGACGGCGCGGGGTGCTGTCTACCTGGTCCCCGGTCTACCTGGTTGGGGGGTATGCGGGACAGAAGGCGGTTTGCAGGTCGAGTGTGTTTGTCTGTATGTTCATTCGTAGTGTTTTGTTTGTTTCCCTGGTGTCTCACCCCGGGAGGGGGGGGAGGTGCTGTCATGTGTATGTATATCCCCATGTCCCCCAGGGGGGTTAATCGATTTCCCTTTTCAACCCCCCCTTCCCCCCTTCCCCTCTCCCCCCTTCCCATTGCCCTCCGACACGTGCATGCAAACACCCCCCACATACATACATACATACATACATACATACATACGAACAGAACTCCCTCCGCGGCGCCGTAGCCCCCCTGGCTGGTCTGTTGGTCGGGTCGGTGGGTCAGGCGGGTCAGCCGCTGGTGCTAGCGGTGAAGGCGGCGAGGGCGCTGGGAAATGCTTGTCAGAACCACGCGCCTAATCAGGGCACGGCAGTCAGGGTGCGCTGTTGCTGCGAATCACTGTTTGCCTGTCTGTGTGTGTGTATGTATGCATGTGCGTGGGGAGTTGTTGGGGTGCAGGTTGTGTTGTTGTGCTTGCTGTTTGTTTGCTTGTTGTCAGTTTCTTTGAGTGATTGTTTGTTCCAAAGCGGGTTTTACCTAATTTGGGGGTTTCGGAGCTTGTTTTGAGGTTATTCTCATGTATTGCAGTTTCACATCTTCATTCTCCTCGCCACCACTCCAGGCCTTCTGTATTGTAAAAACCAGCATCCCACCCTCCCCCTCGCTCATCTCCCCTCCCCCCTTCCCCATGCACATGCGCTTCTCTTCCTACCAACTCCCTCTCCTCCCATTGGCCTTTCTTTTGCGTTATTTCCAACCCAGTTCTCTAATTCTAATTCCTTTGCGTTCCTGCCGGCGTACACGTCGTCCAATGCGTCATCCCGTTGTCAATTCCGTCATCTCGTACGACACCTGTGTCATCCTGCGCCGTCTTTGCATTCATAAATCTGTCCCTGCGTTTTCTTCCGCTTCCATAGAGGTTCTTTAGGGCTTCTTATTCCCTACTTCCCCGGTCAGCCAGCTTAATACTCCCTTTCAGCGGCATTTCATGCGTTCTTGTCTTTTTCGTTCGCTGCTCACAACTTTCCCACCTCTCTGCCTCGCATGTGCCTTTGCCTCTGCCGCTTCCGCTGCCTGGCCAGGTGAGTCCGAAGGAGGTTCGAGCTTTGTCGGTTTATCACGTTGCGTCGGTCGGCTAGCCGGACTAGGATGGTCGGGTCGGTCGGGTTGGTCGCGGGTTTTTTGGGGGGGGTGGGAGGAGCACTTGCATATCACCAGCTTCTTATTACCAGCAGCTAATCAGCCAGTTCTTGGCCAAACCTCGTCAATGCCGCCGCCAGGCCGGCGGCAAACTTTATTCCAGCTTCACGTCAGCAGTTCTGTACTACTTTTCCGCCGCCTCTACACCTACCTTTACTTCTTTACGGCTTGGCATTACTGCTTTTCTTCTGCGCTTGTTTTAGTCTTGGCGGCTAGTTAGTTAGGTAGTTTTCCGACATCTTCTTCACTACGTCATTCCGAGGTCGCCGCCTTCAAGAACGCCTGCTGGTCAGTTCTACTTCTGGCGAATCACTCTTTTCCTTGGCATCAGCTCCACTCGTTCACGTGGGGTTCGTCTTCCCGTCCCCCCCCCGGACTGCGACCCGCCGCAGGCCAACGTGATGCCAGTGCTGGTGGCCTGGATGCAGTCGCGGGTCGGGCCCCTTGTACGAGCAGCCGCCGCCGCCGCCGCCAACATCATCGTCAGCAACTCCGACGCCGCCGATGCCGCCGTCGCCGCGGGCATACTCTCGCCCCTTCTCGTGCTGCTCATGCAGCCAGTAGCGCCGCCGTCGCCGTCGCAGCGTCCAGAGGTGGCTGCCGCCGCTGCCACCGATGCCGCCGCTACTGACATACGCACAGACGGTGGTGACGAGTCCGGGCAAAGCCAGGCGGAGGTGGAGCCGACGGCGGCAGCTGCCGCTCCCCTCTTAGCGGCGGATTTGTACGAGCGTGCAGCGGCGCTGATGGCATGTCTTACGGGCTCCTCGCCGGGGCTCCGTACACAATTAGTACGGCAGTCACCGTTGCCCCGGTTGTTGGTATCGAGGTTGGCGGCTGCACCTACGGCAGGTAGGTCTGAAGTTCGTCTGTTGTGAGATATTTTATATGTGTGTATGTATGTATGTATGTATGTATGTATGTATGTATGTATGTATGTATGTATGTATGTATGTATGTATGTATGTATGTATGTATGTATGTATGTGTGGGACAGGGGGTCGTATCTTCACCCTGCGGCCGCTACCCGGCAGACCCCCTGCCTTCCCCGCGGGTATTTCGGGACACCCTCATCCAGTCACCCTGGCCTTCTCAGTGGATCGCTCAGGTTCCGAACCCACCACCGGAATATGTATGTATGTATGTACATCTGTATTTTATTTTAATCCAACTTTATCGTTTCGGAAAGTGAAGTCAAATAATATGCAAATG